CATGGATATTTTGTGGGTCAGAAGATAAAAAGTTTGGGAACCACTGGTTTATACAACACTGTTAATTGCACACATTACAATTTCGCCCAACCCTACACAGACTTTGCTGCCAGGCTGTTATTGTGCTGAGCTGGAAAATAAAATAATGTGCATGAATAAGTTGTGATTTTGGCAGTTTGCCTATTTTCTCACATTTCTGAGCCGAGAATGAGTCTCCAACAGTCACAGTCCTGTAAGATACTATGAACTTTACTTTTATCCAGTCTATTAATCAATCACCTTCTCTCATTCTTTTGCTGGTTTCCTTTGATAAGTGTTACCCTGGGTGTTTTCCTATTAGATCAAATATTGCTCTTGCTTCCTCAAACTATTTTTTTAGCATTAGAAGTAAAATACACGTTTAGAAAGCATCAGAGTAAAGGATAGTTGCATCACTGACGAGAGAATCACATTTGTCAACTCAGCCTTTTGGCAGTTGCGGGTAATTTTGGCCTTGGGGAGTGTACAGAATGACAAAGTTTGCTATCAAAGTTAGAAGCTCAGAAGATTAGCACATTCTCTACAACAGCTTCACAGCTGTTTACTGTTGGATTAGTTTCAACTGCATTTGTTTTCACCGCACAAATAAAGACAGGTTACAGGTATTTTTTGCATCAGATGTTGGATCACAGTATCTGAATGCATCAGCACATCAGCCTTCAAATAGACACTTTTAATAAACATTGTTTCTTGTTTAACTTCTACTAAACACTATGGCTGAGCACCGCTAACAAACAGTAACTTAGCTCTRTGTGGTAGTTCATGCATAKAAACAACGTTTTTAAACACGTCCTCTTATAAACACTGAATAGTATTATGTTTATGATGGGCTAAATGTGAAATAAATAATACAGAAATACTGTTAAAAGTAAGAGAGTTTTGCTCATTGATGAGTTCTGCTGCCATCTTGAATTCTAAACTGACAGGGAATTCCCACTGCATGGGCATTCCRGTGTTAATTCACGACTTGTAAGTGGGAAATTCCCACTTCTTAGTACAACTGAGCAGCACCAAAGGTAGCTGGTAAAAATGCAGAGAATTAGAGATTTTATGGTGAAATATGTCAGCCGTYGGCTATTTTTTTTAACCCTGTGCAGCTTCGCCTAGTGGTGGGACGACATCATTAATCAACATGCATTATAGGAGGTGTATTTTATGGTCAGTGCTGGCTTTAAAGCAGCAGACATTTCCCTTTCTAATCTTTACAATGTCCCTTTGGGATCAATAAGGTATTTTTTTATTGAATTTGAATTTCAAGGTAATGGATCTTTGAAGCTCTCGAGGGCCACAATTTGCCATGGCAGGCCACATTCGGCCTGTGGGCCTTCAGTTTGACACGTGCTCTAGAGATGTATTTTTCAAGGAGGTTTGTTTTTATCAAAACTGACCCACATCCTGGATATTTTAATTACTTTTCTTTTGTGATTTASATGGTTTGTGGCAAGTTGGAGTTCCTCAAATTCTTTGAGAAGAAAATGCCAGGTTCATAAMGTTAGCGAATCGCTAGTCTGATTGATTTTGATGAACATCTGGATCAATTTGAAATCAACAAAAGTTCACCTGAAATGTATTTTTGTATCTGAAACGTGATGCTGGCCAAATCTTTCCCATCAGGAAGTCTGATACGGAGATGACATCACAAAATCCATTACGTTTGTTAGAAAATTTGTTTAATGCATTGATTTACTTTAACATACCACTGAGCCAGGTCATACCATCCAATGACTGCTTTTGTCATCTGTATTTTTTTTTTTTTGATTGTGTGGTTGTTCATGAGACAAAATGCCAGACAGCATAAATAAAAACTTCAAATGACATTGTTACATGCTTATTTTGTGATTTCCCAGTACATAATATCTACTGTGGTACGAGTAATTGATATAATGATGTGTCCATTTCCATTTAAACCATCATATTTTATGAGAATCCCCACACTGATCACACAGTAACAGGTCAATCCTCAGTGTAACCATTAACCTACAGTATTGCTTACCTTTACCTCCCCCAGGTAAACAAATCTGCTTGCAGCTGTTGACTTTAAGCTGTTTGAAGCCACCCTGCTGCCCGGGGGGGTGGCAGAGCAACAGCAGCCAGTCAGAGCTGCTCCATAATTCATATCCATCCAAACAGTTATGTAATCCCACCTCAACACGACGCTTGTAAATGTTGGAGCTGATGTGAAGCAAAGAGCACTTCTCCCGCTGACAGCTCGATATTTCAGCTCTGCAGCCTTATCYGCACCTTATCTACACCCTTTAATAATCAAACAACCAAACTGTGACAGTCCTACCGTACCAAATAGCCCAGCAGCATGATGTTCCAAACAGTGTRTCCACGTTTGGCATTCCAGAACACCTAAAACAAGAGAGGGGAGGATTTCGTGGCCCCGCGTCCGGACCGGAGAGGATCCTCGGTGCGCCTTGTGCGGATCGATGGAGCAGAGCGCAGGGGTCCCGGCTCTTTCTCTCTCTCCCTCCCTCTCTCTCCCTCTCTTTCTCTCTCCTGTTGTTTGCCTTTTGCTCTGCCTCTCTCTCGGGCTAAATGAGCATGAAGTAATGGTGACAGCTGCGCTCTGGTACAAGAGTGCGTCAGGAAGGACAGAGGCGCGCCGGAGTCCAACGCGAGGAGGGGAGAGGGGGAGGTGGGGGAGTAGGAGGGGAGAGGTGGGAGGCAGAGAGGCTCTCACAGGGAAAGGAACTGTTTGTTTAACACCCCACCACTCAGTAGTGATCCAACCGTAATAAAGTGTTTGCACTTTTGCACAAACGAGTCCACACCATCAGTTCATCTAAATAATGAGGAGTTATTCCTCTGATCTCCTTGTTTTATCTAAAATTACAGCTTAGCTCCCTCTCTGTCATTGCTTTCTGTTGAATATTCACACCTGCTCTGCAGGAGATCCTCATACTCACCTGTTGCCTCTAAGTAATCACTCCTAGCATAAATACAGCAGATTGTCTCGTGCTGTTTGTTTTTTTCCAACACAGAAGTGTCAAACTCCTTATAGGGCCACAGCAGCATTAACATTTTTGCATTTAACGTCAACTAAAAACACTAAATACCACATTCTTCATCTCATGGCTACAGCTGAGCTCCGCTAACAAACACTGGCAGAGCTCTATGTAGTGTTTCCTGCATAGAAACAGCATTTTAACMGTCTTATAAACACTAAAGGGCTCGACACACGGGAGGCGAYGTCGCTCGCTCTCCRTWYATTTYCTATGGAGCCTGTGCGGTGAGGCGACAATCGCTCGCCCTCCTGCAGCTAAGCAACCGGCGAAAATAGTGCATGTGAAATTTCGCGCTCGTACACGTAGA